ATAGGTTTATTATTATAAATTCATAAAAGCTATTAAAAAAAAAAACTTCAGCTTGCTTATTACTAAATCTAGATAGCACTTTAATAACAGCTAGCAGAACACATCAAAACAACTTTTAAAAAAATCTATACTAAACCCAGCCATATTTCTAAATCCACCAAAATTATAAGCTGAAAAAAAGATTGATACAAAACTATTTCCACTGTGCCATTTTTTATATAAGAATCCACCTAGCAAAATAGTATTACCTTGCACATGTGGCAGTTGGGTTTGGACTTGCTTCTACTCCCCTCACACGGACAGTCTTCACAGAGCTTGCAAAACTGAAATTAGATTAAAAAGAGTAATCGCTGAACAAATTGTCCAAGAAAATAAAATAGTTCTTTTCTTCAAGAGCATTTGAACTCATCACCATCATCACCAGATTCAGTGTTCTTTTTGTTAATTACATTAATTAGACAATACTTAAAATTGAAGCCAGAGTAAAAACTTAAAAAGGTTTTAATGGGTAACTACCTTACAATAGGTGCAGTATCCACACACTGAACCCTTTGGCATATTCCATTGATTCCTCATCCACTTCAGGCTGAGGTTCTTCTTCAAAATCAGCCAGAGGCACAACTTCTTCATTGTCCCCATCAGTTTCAGAAGTTGCTTTGGCACTTAACAGGCACAACACGAGAAACAAGCAAACTGTCTTGCATTTCATGATTGAAATGTTCAATGTTTTACCTGACCCTGAATGAATATAATTTAAGTTAATATTGGCACTTATTTTATTAGGTAACCATAAATCAACACAGATTATTTAGAAAAGCACATTAATATGAATTTAACACCAAACTGTTAACCTAAGTCTTAAGTTTGGTTGTGCATCCATTGGGTAAATTGAGTTTTATTCTTCAAAGATTAACTACACTACACCCAAATTCTCATTGATAATCAATGACAATAATAATCCCATTTGTGTTGTGTTTATTAAAATTTCCAGGTATGTGACCACGTTTCATTTTTCTTTTTAATGATGAGATCAAAATAAAATCTTTAGAAAAAAAGTTGTATAATTAAAATTTAGTGACAAACTCACACTAACTAGAAGATTTCACTAAATCTAGATCTAATCTAATAGCTAAATCTGGAATATGATAAGCTTGCCTGCCACTGTTACTGACGTCCTGCCAATAGACTATCAGAAAAAAGATGTTAGGTTGTTAAATCAATAGTAGATCTGGTATAATAGCATTGTAATCTCAGGTTTAGTTTTTTGATCAGAAATTAGGCTTGGACTATGGTAGGACTGTGGTTAAGGTTTTTCATTAGCAAGTCATATTTAGTATTTAGTTAACAACCAGCAATCTAACACCCTTTTTAAAAAGATTATATTATAAATGTAATGTGATTGGACATTGGTTATAAGTATAACAATTATATTTGCCAATAATATTAAATTATAGGCCTAAGTTAGTAGTCTGGATCTTATTTTTGCTTGCTAAGATTCAGAATTTCAATAGAACTAGATACTAGAAGAAGTGTTACTTAGTCCTTTAGATTTAGTAAAACTGTTACTTTCAAGTCAGTGTGGTTTGTACTCAGTAGTACTGCACTACAGTACTTTAACTGATAGTTTAGTTTGTTATGTAATTGAGTAAGTAATTAATTAATTATAATTATGAATGAACAATGTCCAATTTATGATCGAACCCGGCATATCTCAAACGCCCGCAAAAGGGAAACAGCAAACTTGGTTGTTACAAACAGTGACCAGTCTCAGTACAGTTGAACTGAACAGTTGTCGGTAGAGTAGATCATGATTAAAATTAAATTTGATTAAAATATTAAGATTATGAATATCTAGATTCTATTTCTTTCTCAATCGATATGATTTTAATTTAATACTAATGTACTTAAATTATATCTTGACTCTAGATTGATACTGTCTTTAAAGCAAATCTTACCTTGATAAAGCGGGTAACCTAAAACTCCCACTTCAACGGTAAATGCAGAGGTATTTCAACGAATCAGCCTATCGCACGTATCAGAAATTGTAGAATTATAGCTTGGAGTAGTTATAGCAGTTCAAAATTTACAACGTCTGTGCTATAAAAAAATTGGAACACTAAATGTAAAACTAACAATAAGCCTAACAAAACATCTTTCCGCTTCATTTCACGACTGCGTTTTGTTTCAATTTTATGAAAAACAAAGCCTGGATCTAGATTCCTAGATCTAGATCTATATCCAGAACTTTAAAAAATGTGACCCAGTTTTTAAATAATGTGCAGCAAAAATAACGACTACGATAGTAATTAAATAAAATAAGTGCACACAACGGTAAGTTAATAACTATCTATAAAGATAAACTTGGATCGCTATGGTTACGTTTTATGTGTTAAAGTTTAAAAAGTTAAATACCTAAAAACAGAAATAGATTCTAGAGGTCATGGGCCAAAATCGCACTCTGCCGATGGGGGCGGCGGGTACACCTGATTCAGTTTGATGGCGTAGGCCCAGAGTTTCTTCCATGTATCTCTTCGCCCCCCCCCCCCCCCCCGGAGAAAAAAGTCTGGAAGAAACACTGCGTTGGGTCCTATCACACACTTTAAAATGTTAGTGGGGGAACCCGAGGCGCAAAATGGCAACCTGACGGGGCACAGCCCCTTCGAAATTTCATTTTTTTTTTCGCGAAACCTTTCCAGAAATATTCTCACCAACTCCCCAAAGTTTCATGGCAACGAGATGAAAGATGTAGTAATGCATACAAGACAGGTAAACAAATAAACATACATAATTTCGTTCGTTACTTTCGTAATTCGTATTGCAATCATGTGAAAATCTACTATCTGCATCTGCCCCGTTTAAATTAAGCAAAACGTAACTTTTATTAAAAGTTTTAACTAAAATGAACTAGTTTTGCCATTTCTAAATAACAGTGGGTTGACAAATCGTGCATTATGAGTTACTACAGTTGGTTTCTATTGTAAGGGTTTAAAAGATACATGCACGCACCAGTCCGCAGAGTTTCTTCCAGGCATCTCTAAAGTCTACCGCCCCCCGAGCGAAATGGAATTTATATAGAAAATATATACTTTTAACAATATCTGCCCCCCTCCCCGGATATTTTACATTATGTAAAGCCATGTAGCTGTATATTAAATACTTCGTGTAATTCAATACTGCTGCCTAAATTGAGCTTTAAATTTTTTTTTCTACCCATTTTGGAGCCAGGTATTGGATGGCGCCCGAGGTGGTCATTCCGCCCTCCTAGCTCCGCTTCTCCCCTTTACCCGTTTGTGGGTGTTGGTTACCCGTTCGCCTTTTAAAAAAGGGATAGAAATACATAGGTCTACAATTTAGCTATAAGAAAAGAAGTTTGGGTAACCTACTTTTGAAACGCACTAAAAAAAAGTCCGACCGAGGCTCCGTTTTGTGCCGTCCAGCGGTCATGTTGAGATAAGACTTTAAGGCGCTTTAATGCCCCTGACCAGTTAATGGATTAACCCGAGAACGTCTAACAATGGCGGACTTCCCCTGACAAACAAGGCCAAAATCACCTTTACATCTCGCGGTGTGGGCGAGGTGTGTAGAAAAGGTTAAAAAGGGGAGACTCAGATTTACGATACGTCCGATAACTCTAGGTGGTCGCCTCTAGAAACTGTTATCACGTAAGGCGAGGCGGTTCAATTTTTTTTTACGTGGAAACTGGATCGCATCTATGCGAGTCGAGTGTCCCGGCTAGGCTTTGTATTAGTGTCAAGTTTATGGACCTTTCACGCGCATTTAAACTTGGTCAGACATAACTCTGTGTGTGTTGTGTGTGTGTGTGTGGGGGGGGGGGGGGGGGCGGAAAGAGGGGACGACTAAGTAAGCTGGTGTGTAAACTTCATCTGCGATTGAGCTTTTTTTTTCTTTTCCTAGTAGTGGTTCTATTTCTATATCTAGATTCTACGTTCCGTTATATCTGGCAAAATTAGAGCGATATCTTTATGATAGTAATTTCATGAAACTTTGAATTTTTGTCTTACATGGCAGTACTATCTCATCACGCTAACAGTAAGAGTTTGTCTCAGGCATCTCTTCGGGGGGGGGGGGGAGTGAACACCCCGAATTACGTCTACCCCCCCTCAAACGAAATAGAATTAGTATAGAAAATATATACTTTTACCAGTGTCCTACTGATACTTTATTAAAATGATGTGTGTGTGTGTGGGGGGGGGGGTGGCTAAAGGAGATTTGTAGTGTAGTTAAGACCCGTGAAACAAAGTTTTATATTTTGATTGCTTTAAATTTTAGATGTAAAAATTCAACCACATAATTTATTTTTCAATTTTCGATGTGTGTAATAAGTTATTTAAACGCCAGACAAACAGAGGCGTAGCGATGGGGGGGGGGGGGGGAGGGGGGGTACATATGTCCCCGAGCGCTGACCTTAGGGGGCGCCAAAATGGATAGTAAAAACAAATTAAAATGTCATTTTAGCTGCATTTTTGCATTATAAACAGTTTGACGGGGGTGGGGGGTGCAAATCGAAAGTCTGATCGAATTTGCACCCGAGGGGGGGGGGGGGGCGCCAAATTGAAAGTTTGTCCCCGGGCGCCGAGAAGGGTCGCTACGCCTCTGCAGACAAAATGGGACTTATGGATATTTTTTTTAGTTCAGAGGTGGGAACAAAACTAGTGACACAAAGAAAACCTAAGATCATTTTTAAAAATCAGGATAAGATATAAAAATAGAAATAATCTACAATGTTTCCTGCTTTAAGAACAGGTTAATAAGGGCTAATGACATAAATTGAGCTTATGCCATAAATCGACTTTATTTCATCCCACTTCGATCTCTTGAGCAATCTCTAGTGTACCAGTTAGCCCCTTAATAAAGATAACAGATACTGCTTATCCCAAAGTTTTTACAGACTTGGTATCTGGTCGCCTGTGTTACTATACAGTCCACAACAAACACATTAGTATAAATGTATGCAGATCTGTTTAGGGTTAATCCGAAAGGTCCGATAACTCCTCGGCCTAAACCCAGTTATCTTCCCTACTTATCCGACTGTTAACATTCAACGGCGCTGCGCTTTCAGACGCTATCGGCGACTGGCCAAAGGGACGCCACTCTGTTGTTTAATTTAGCTCGGTATCCTAGCAACCACGGAAGCTTCCTCGGGTACATCGGTCCGTATCTAAGAACCCAAGATCTGAACTTGTATAATTTAGGCCAGCCTGTGCAAGCTTTGTATATTAAACCACGTAAAAGAATGGATGGATATTTGAGAGGATAGTGAAGACGAGAAACACCCATCAGCACCGGTTTCACAAGAGACATCGCCTAGTCTCTTTCCATTACTTTCCAAATCAACCATGACTTAGTGTCTAACTCAATGAACCATAATATATTATAATACTATGCGACTACCAGTTTTAACCTGAAGTCGAGCATTTGCCTTAGTTTCCCTTTAGGGTTTAGCTGTGACCGTTACACCAAACAAAAACCATGTTAAAAATTTAATCAAATTTCAATTGCCTATGGAATTATCTTAATCTATAAAAAGAATATGATCGCATGCTAGCACAACCACACCCTCCATCGTAGACTTACTTGGTTTTGAGCGATTCCTTCAAGACACCCCGACTGTTTGTGCTTCCTGCATTATGTTATCGAGATGAAGATGTTACATTATTTTAAAAATTTACTACACTACGCCACCAATCCAAAAGCAATTAGATGCCGGTAATTTAAAGAGTCGTTGTAAATTATTGCCTCCCGTGTAGACGCCCCATCCACACTCCTCCTATCCCCTCCACACACCACCTTCACGTCTGCTTTGGGTCTACCCAAGTCAAGAAACGAAATTAAAATGAGACATCATTGGCCGTGACACGATCCAGTTTACTGACTCCCCCCCCCCCCCTCCCTCCGGTGTAACGAAACGAGAAGAGCTGTAAGCTCCTTCAGGGCTAACCTGTTGAATTAAGCCGTATCAAGCCGGAAATTAAGTCATTGCGTTTAATGAGACTATCAATTACTTTTATACTGCTGCGATTGATGAAATTTAGCCAGCGGCTTATTTTAAATGATCGTTAGAACTGATGGGGCTTTCACCAGTAGGGAACTGTGTGTGTGCGTGTGTGTGTGTGCTTGTGTGTGTGTGTATGGTTGAGGGGTTGATGTATTTATCTGATCTAATATCTATAATGAAGATTATACGATACATTTTATTAGTGGACAAACTGAACAATCGTCAGGTAATGCGAGATGACTTGTGTGTTGAGGGTGTGTGCCTTAATGTATACGATCCGATAGTTTTCATTAACCAACGCATTAAGTCATTAAACATTTTGTCACTTTTGTAAGATGGTGCGTGTTTGTGTGTGTGTGTGTGGGGGGGGGGGGGGTCTTTTGGTATGCATGAGCCGATAAATTTCATAAACCAACACTGAACAATCATCACGTTTTGTAAGATAATGTGTTTTGGTCGCGTGTAAGTAGAAACACAGTGTGTGCCTCAGTTAACAGATGTGTTGGAAGGGGGAAGGGGGTGGAACGAATAGGCCTATTTTATTTCTATGTATGTCTACTTTTTAATCAACGAAACAATCTTATTTCGCCTTTTAACATACCTAAAAACATGTGGAAAGCTTTCCCTTCCCCACCATTGTCCCCCCTCTTTTATTGATGTGGGGTATCTTTTGAGAGTCGCCAGGTGAAGCGGACCGGCCAACGTTATCTTAATGTCTATCATGTAATGTAAGAAGATGAAGAGGGTCAAGCCAGAAGCGAACACTGCCCACTGCCTAATGTCCATGAAGCATGGCCTTTGGGGACCCACCACGTGACCTCTTACAAAAGGACTTCATTGACAAAAGCCAAGCAACCGTCAATTACAGGACACGAGGTACGAAACCAGCGGTCAACAAAAGCCAGAGTAGAAACGGAATATTGGTTTCACTTGATGACATTTGCGCAGCGCTGTGCCTGGCGACCAACCAGAGTTACCGGCCTTTATTTGTAGGTCCGAGAGAGGACTTTGACCAAGCGGGGTGGGTGTTGAAAACAATGGTGGACAAGCGGGTAGGGGTCACCCGCGTCTGTGGTCTTAGGCTGTTTAAGAAGTTGTGTCCACTCATTGGGAATTGCAATTTGTGAGTCGGAAGCTGGTCAAAACATGGTGCTTGTGGAGTAACGGTGACGTCATGATGTACTTGGATAGTCTCAGAAGTGATAAGGCCCCAGGTGAGAGAGAACTGTTTTATTTTTAGATCATTCAAGAACGTTTTCAGGATTTCCTTAAAACGTGAAAACTTTTCGACGTAGGCTTGTGTGTGTGCTAATCTACACGAACATTACATTCTATAGTGCTGTTTACGGAATATTTTATATACTTCTAAGGCATTCATATCAGGATTATAATACAGATATTCTCGTTTTCAACAGCTGTATTCCTATACAAATTGGATTATAATGTTGTAGTACATAAAGTGAGCAGTGCTAGGCTTATGGATTACAGTGCTGTGTATCAAATAGGCCTATTTAAGTACTATATACTATATATATATATCCCATGTATAGCCTATATATTTATAGCTTTTATATAAATAGCCTATATATATATATGTATAACCTCTCTATATATACCTATATATATATATATATATATATATATATATATATATATATATATATATATATATATATATATATATATATGTATATACATTTATATATAGGGCCTATATCCTATATTTATTCAATATATATTATTATATATCCTATATGTATATCCTATATGTATATCCCATATGTATATCCTATATGTATATCCTATATGTATATCCTATATGTATATCCTATATGTATATCCTATATATATATATATATATATATATATATATATATATATATATACATATATCATATACATGTACACATTTATTTATATATATATTATATATATATATATATATTATATATGGGTTTGTTGTTAGGTTTTTGTTTTCGTTTGCTTTTTTGTTTGTTTTTTCTTTGTGTTTGTATTGGTGTTTGTGGTTGTGGTTGGGTTTGTTGTTAGGTTTTTGTTTTCGTTTGTATTTGTAATTGTGTTAGCGTTATGTTTGCGTTTTGTTGTTTTGGTTGGTTGTGGTTTGGGTGGGCAATGCCGGGTTTATGATGATTACTAAACACACAGGTGATGGTCTTTAACAGAAAGGTTTTTCACAGAATTAAAACATGTGTGTTCTTTTATAATTTACAAATTCAAAACATTTTTTTGCAAAGTGTTTCACGAACTTTGTTTTGCCTAGACATTATCTCTTAAAAGTGGTGCAACATGCCATGCATTGCATGTGCATTTAATTTAAAAGATCGTGTGAAAAACATCGCGCGCTAACCGCAGTGTTAAGACACACAAGTCACCAGTTTTCCCCACTTCCCTGTGTCTAGAATACGACAACCCGACATCCAGCAACCCCAGCCCGCAGAACGAGCCGTCTAGGGCAGGATTTGTGCCGAGACCAGAGCCGGTGTCCCAGAGCTGTGTGGTCAGATGGGGAATAGACCACCAGCACCATCAGCACCATCAGACCACATCTACAAGCATTGGCCAGCTGACCTGCACGGACAGACCTAGGGAGAACGATGATGGTGAAGACGATGGTAAGTAGTATACAACGTATTTTAAACAATAGCATTTTCAATTATTTGTTTTGTAGACAAAGCTATCCCATTTAAAGTAGGCCTAATGCTAATTATCTTCAACAAACCTTTCGTATCTATAACAACATGTTTATTTTGTTTTTAATATTCTATTCTAAAAACATTGAACGTGTACTTAAAACAAGTTAAAACATTTTTCTTATGAGGCGAAAAAGGGGGGGGGGGAGAATGGACACTGATTAAATTATATATATTCTTTCTAAATTGCATATTTTTTCTATTCCGTGGGGGTGGTGAACGTGCTTCGGGGAGGGTGGGGGGGGGGGGAAGGATGAGACGCATTTATCTGGGTGGGATGTATCACATGGAAGTGTCAAGTCAATATTTACACCAGTTGTTAATGTAGGTGTTACCCGGCACACGCCAAACACGCGTCAAATAATATTTTCACGTCAAATAGCCGGGGTCTAATCGTGGAGCGCCATTGTGAATCAACTGACGTCACATTGTCTTCACACCTCAAATGTTAGGACAAAACAAAACAATGTAAGATGCGTAAAGATCGGACCCCAAACAACACACCAGCCAGATGGTGACTGTTTGTGCTGGGCAAGAAAACACACCTGGAGCTGTGGGTGAACCGGAGTGGCAAGAAAACACACCTGGAGCTGTGGGTGAACCCGAGTGGGAAGAAAAGGTGACCTGTACTGGGGATCTGACACGCTTCGTGAAGTCGCTATTGTTTTATTCAAGGGATTAGGTCCAACACGCTGGACCTGGTCAATAGCCGCTCAATTCGCTTGACCCGAGGGGAGGAGATACGTAATGCCCGGCGAGGCGTCCGGCAAATATTGAATCTTTTCTTTGGCACGGCTGTTGACAACACCGGCGGCGACCGGTATTTATAAAGCGGGGCGGGCAGCTGGCCCCGCGTGTCAAAATACGAAGAATATCTGTTTGGATTAGACAATTAGCATTCCCAGTATTGAAATAAGTGTCGACGATCTGACTTCCCTTTACAGATCGTCCCCCCTTCACGCCGCCGCCGCCCAAAGAGAGGCTGAGCTACACCAGATACCAGCTGGCACTCCTGAACGGCATTTACCAGGAGGTCAGGTACCCGAATGGAACCCAGAAACAGCTGATAGCTAAACGAGTCGGGATCACAAGAGAACAGGTCAAAGTAAGTCTTTAGCTAAATGGTCACCAGAGAACAGGTCAAAGTAAGTCTTTAGCTAAATGGTCACCAGAGAATAGGTCAAAGTAAGTCTTTAGCTAAATGGTCACCAGAGAACAGGTCAAAGTAAGTCTTTAGCTAAATGGTCACCAGAGAACAGGTCAAAGTAAGTCTTTAACTAAATGGTCATTAGAGAACAGGTCAAAGTAAGTCTTTAGCTAAATGGTCATTAGAGAACAGGTCAAAGTAAGTCTTTAGCTAAATGGTCATTAGAGAGCAGGTCAAAGTAAGTCTTTAGCTAAATGGTCATTAGAGAACAGGTCAAAGTAAGTCTTTAGCTAAATGGTCATCAGAGAACAAAGTAAGTCTTTAGCTAAATGGTCACCAGAGAACAGGTCAAAGTAAGTCTTTAGCTAAATGGTCATCAGAGAACAGGTCAAAGTAAGTCTTTAGCTAAATGGTCATCAGAGAACAGGTCAAAGTAAGTCTTTAGCTAAATGGTCACCAGAGAACAAAGTAAGTCTTTAGCTAAATGGTCATCAGAGAACAGGTCAAAGTAAGTCTTTAGCTAAATGGTCATTAGAGAACAAAGTAAGTCTTTAGCTAAATGGTCATCAGAGAACAAAGTAAGTCTTTAGCTAAATGGTCATCAGAGAACAAAGTAAGTCTTTAGCTAAATGGTCATCAGAGAACAGGTCAAAGTAAGTCTTTAGCTAAATGGTCATCAGAGTTCAGGTCAAAGTAAGTCTTTAGCTAAATGGTCATCAGAGAACAAAGTAAGTCTTTAGCTAAATGGTCATCAGAGAACAGGTCAAAGTAAGTCTTTAGCTAAATGGTCATCAGAGAACAGGTCAAAGTAAGTCTTTAGCTAAATGGTCATCAGAGAACAAAGTAAGTCTTTAGCTAAATGGTCATTAGAGAACAGGTCAAAGTAAGTCTTTAGCTAAATGGTCATCAGAGAACAAAGTAAGTCTTTAGCTAAATGGTCATCAGAGAACAGGTCAAAGTAAGTCTTTAGCTAAATGGTCATCAGAGAACAGGTCAAAGTAAGTCTTTAGCTAAATGGTCATCAGAGAACAGGTCAAAGTAAGTCTTTAGCTAAATGGTCATCAGAGAACAAAGTAAGTCTTTAGCTAAATGGTCATCAGAGAACAAAGTAAGTCTTTAGCTAAATGGTCATCAGAGAACAAAGTAAGTCTTTAGCTAAATGGTCATCAGAGAACAAAGTAAGTCTTTAGCTAAATGGTCATCAGAGAGCAGGTCAAAGTAAGTCTTTAGCTAAATGGTCATCAGAGAACAGGTCAAAGTAAGTCTTTAGCTAAATGGTCATCAGAGAGCAGGTCAAAGTAAGTCTTTAGCTAAATGGTCATCAGAGAACAGGTCAAAGTAAGTCTTTAGCTAAATGGTCATCAGAGAACAGGTCAAAGTAAGTCTTTAGCTAAATGGTCATCAGAGAACAAAGTAAGTCTTTAGCTAAATGGTCATCAGAGAACAGGCCAAAGTAAGTCTTTAGCTAAATGGTCATCAGAGAACAAAGTAAGTCTTTAGCTAAATGGAATTTGATTTTCCGGGTAGTACGTGTATCAGAGGATATTTCTATGTTGAAATTCAAATTTGTATGCTTACGTTTGCTTATACTTACGTACCTTAATTCATTTTACAGATATGGTTTCAAAACAGAAGGCGTAAGGATGTAGTGACAAAAGGGTCAGATAAAAACAAGGATTCAAAGGCAGCTGGAAACTCTATCGAAACAAATAATCCATCCCCTGATGTGCATGTTGGTAGTGACAGCAGCAACCATTTCGAGGAAGAAAAAATCAACAAAGATGAACCAGCACCCGGTGGTGAAAATGTTCACAGCTCTGTCATCACAACAAACGGTGTGGCCAATTTTAGCAGCCCTAACAACCTGCCCAGTGTTGCTGGATCAACAGCAACAAACAATGACACCGGGGTGTCTGAATTACAACCTGCCAATGGCACAGCAGCTTCTGCAGGACCATCGTCCTCCATAACAACAGTTTCTCCGATGGTTCTTAGAAGTATAATAACAGAGCTGAATAAGTTTGGCACAGAGTATCTTAAGATGAAGAAAAAGAAGAAAAGAAGTAAAACAAAAGCAACGAAAACATCAGCTCCCGCGGTTGTGCCATTGCCACCAACTTCTACTTCACTACCAACATCTACTTCAACATCAAATACATTATTATCTTCATTATCATCGTTTTCCTCATTGTCTTCATGCAAAGCTCCACGCTTGTTCCAGAGCTACGATATGATTGCTCCACCAAATAAATTAACACCATCAGCTAACAAAGTTCTCCACACAAGTGAAGCTTCAGCGTTTCGAGATCCCAGGTACGACAAAGCTCCTTTAAGCGGAGCAGTAGCAGCTGAAGGTGCTCCACAGTTGCGAGAAGGTTTTTCATCACACAGGCCAGGCGATTCTCTTGACTTCCTGCAGCAAAGACCTTTAGAACATATGCATGGATCCTCACATCCATCTTTCTCCTCTCAACCCTGCCAGCCCACGCTGAACACCTTGTTTCCCAGTCACGCAGTGCCTCAGTCTATGCCCCAACACCCTGCAATGTACGACAATGTCCTTGGCTTGACAGACTTCCTAAGCAGTTACAGCAGTCATCAGGCTAGTGCTGCCATGGCTCAAAGACCAATGGGACAATCTCTCTTCTCAGCCAGTACCACACCAGGGGGCAGCACCAGCGACCACAAGTCGACCGGTGGTTTGTCCTACAACTCCTCACACTACCCCATCTATCAGCCTCGGCCTACACCACAGTTCACACCTCTCAGTCGGGTCTACCCGTTTCCTTTAATAGCCGACCCACCCATGGTCTTGTCAGGCATGTGCCAGCCTGACACATATTTCCACCGCCCCCAATGGCAGCCACACCCCCTGGCGTTAAGTTCTCAGACACCCCCACACAACTCACCGTCTGGCATACCAGAAGACGCTTACAGACCACTGGTGATCACCTCACTCAGCAACCCCTACTACTCCTCAGCCTCATCAACATACTCCTCCAGCTCGTCCACTCTACCTCATCAGTCCTCCATGTGGTCTCCCCAGTCAGACATTTCAGATTTAAACAACAATTTCACAGATTTGTAATCATTAACAGAGAGGAATCTGCATGTTATGTAAATCCATTATCCTGTGAGAAAAATTGTCTGAATATGTTGTTTAAAACTCAGGATGTGTTAATTTAAGATTAGTTGTAAATAAATAGTTAAGAGAAAAGTTTTTTTAACATATTGCTAATGCAAGTGTTGTATAATAAAAATTTATGTCAATACAGTATTCAGAGTACATATTTATATAACACTGTGTGATTGTAATAAATTGGACTAAAAAAATCTGGCTATTTAAAAAAATCAGTCTGGCATGGAATCAGAATTCATGTTTTAGATCTAGATTGATAGAACTAAGGTTTTTAGTACATGTATTTATATAATAGGCTTGTTAAATAGACAAGTATTGCATTAAATGGACAAGTGTTGTTTTGAATGTACTAGGGCTTGGTTAAATGTACACATGGTTTTTTATGTACAAAAGGGTTGTTTTGAATACTGTTAATTACAATATTTCATTACTAGGTAATCAATAAATAAATGCCAAAACAATGTTCAATTGTTTAATGATGACAAAGAAACCTCTATTGCAGTCATAACTTCAGTTAATATCCCATCTCTGTTTTGGTGAGTTACCTGATGATAAATATAAAACCCATATCAATTATAAAAATGCACATTAAAGAATGTTACAGTTTTATTAAGCCTTTTAAAGGTACTAATCTCTCCTTTCTTTTTTTTTAATAGGCAAGTTTTAATAAAATAAGAGCCATAAGCTCATTTGTAAGGCAACAAATGTTTTAGTAGAGTATGTTAAAAAAATAGCTAACCTCAAATAACTGAGAATTGGGTTTCTTCTTTAATTCTTCAACTAAAGCAATTGTTTTACCCCGAGCAACTGGTATTGTTGCTATCATAATCGCATTAGGCACTGACATCAGTTTTTGAACAGCCTAGAGAAATAAAAATAAATTCATTTAATAAAATTAATATAAAGAACATTTAAAGAAATATTAAAATGAACAAGATGCTTGATACAGACTACAATATAGTTTAATGCAGACTTTCTACCTGCACAAATCTCTGGCTGAACAACTCCATCTTGCCAACTTCATCAACAATGTAAAGGAATGTACTGTGTTGATCTTTGGCCTAAAAAGGTCTATTGTTTTAACAAAATTTCAAAATTCTTTAAAAAAATAAATAAACCTACACATTAAAGTTTTGAAAGGGATTTTACATACTGGAGGTTGCAGAGTTATCAAAGCTGTTTGTTCAAATGAGGTCAAGTTTACTGTGTACTGGCCAACTTTGTATTCTCTTGTTCGAACAGTTGTATTGTCAGCGTCATTGCTGTGTAAGAATGAAATGTTTTTGCGTCATTCAAAACAATTACAGAATTAATGAATTGGGTAATTGATACATACATATTAAGGCTATAACATCAGAATGATTATGACAGCAAAAAATTTAGAATAGGCTTAAGGGTTTCCTACTTAATGCGAGCCAAAGCTGAGCGCTGGTTATCAAGGGTTACAACATCAAATCCTATTCTAAGTCCACCTGAGCGAATTTCTTCAGTAAAAAATCCTGAACATCTTATTTGTTTTGTCTTTAAAGCTTCAACAATCTTTTTAATCAAACTTGTTTTTCCTATTCCTGTGAAACAAAATTCTCAATTAAATCATACACCGATGAGAGGTTCGTGTAAAATCAAGTAAAGATATGACTGTTCTTCCATTTTGAGGGTATTACTAATCAGTTTTGTTGTCTAGCTAACTGATAAATTGGTGAAGGCTCTCAGTGAGCTTTAGGGTGAGGTTATATATTACATATACACACACATGTGTGAGTATATATATATATATATATATATATATATATATATATATATATATATATATATATATATATATATATATATATATATATATATATGTATGTATATAGGCCTATATATATATAGTTGCAATTGGTGATATCTGCTTCCTAATGGCTAATGGTGTTAATTTGTGTGCACAATCCACCTATTAATTCATGTGGAAAAAGTATCATTTTCAACACAAGTTATTTTGGTGTCTCCCCTCTACTGTCATTGATTGACTTTTCTGTTATTCAAAATGCTCAACAAGCCTTCATTCTTCTCTAAATTTTGCAGTTAGTATTACCCCCACCTCTGCATAATAGTGTTAAATTTTAAAGAGTGCATAGTTAATAGTAAAGAAGATGGTTATCTATAGTCAGTTATTAATATACACATGGATAAACATTAAACTCTTATTAATCATTAGTTTAACTGGCAAAAAGGATTTTTCTTCTAGACTAGGCCCCTGCCTGCATTTTTTTTTGCCTGGTCTCACCCCCAAAATGGTGTCAACCTCCCCCCCCCCCCTCTACTACACTCTATACTACAGTGTCTACTGACTACTAGATCTAGATCTAAGTACTAGATCTATCTAGTAAACAAACACCTCAACTGTTACTAGATATCTAGATCTAGATCTACTGCTAGGCTAGGCAGTGCTACTGCGAGACTAGACCATTGCCTGAGCCTGACTGAACAGAACTATTAATTAATGCGTCTAAACTAAATGGCAAATGGCATTAAATTATTAAATGGCATTAAACCTGAACATACCAGGAGAACCTGTAATCAAAAATTGTTTTATCTTCCCGTTTTTTGTTGCCATAGTATTAAACTAACATATAAGCCATTAGACAAATTATTTTGGAAAATTAATAGTTTTAAGTTTTAATTTGTAATATTCTAGATCTAGATCTAGATCTAGTCCTGTGTTTGTTTTCATAATTTTAATGACACTTTTTTTATGTGACCTAAGGGGGAGCACTGGGAAATTATATTCTTAAAATGAAAACAATTCAGTCCTCCGTTTCTTAAAGCTCTGATGCTTGTAAATTTCAGTCGCGTCTAATATCAAAACTACCACAACTAAACTAAGAAGAACACAGATCTGTTTAAAAGTTAAAAGTAATTGCTAGGTTTCGATGACATGATTTTTTATATTCATGCTTTGCTTATAGCCGATCAATGCAATTGTGTTGCCAGTGTTGTTGCAGGAGGTCAGAGAATAAACAAGCAGAGCCAGAGGAGGTACTTAAATTTCTATCCTAGGCCAAATACTGGAGCCAAATAGATTATTTTACATAGATCTACTAGGAGACATGACAGAAATATGCCGCCTAACTGTGCTTAATGATCATTGGCCATAGGCTTAATTTTGTTCTTAGACCCTGGTCTCACTTGAACTAAAAATTTTAAAATACAAAAAATAGGCCTAATGGCTGCAATTTTAAAATGTAAATAAATACAAAAAATCAACCAGAAGATAAGGGCAGTGCTATGAATTTAAATAGTTAAATGTTTAGTAATTAGTAGGCCTTCCTTTCTTCAAAAATTTGAATAATTGAGCTATAAAACCCCAGATTTTGAATTAATAATAGGCTAATTATTAGGCTAATTGTAGGCCTAAATTTATAGAATATTTTGACTAATCATCTTCAAAGAGCAGAATCTGATGCCAAACTATTAAATGTCAAACAATTACACTAAAAACGAGTATTTGTACTTTACAAGCTAAATTTGCAGTTAATTTGAAATTGCCTGATCATTTATTGATGAAGTCAAGATTTATGATCATAAGCAGTAAGCAGCAGGAAAAAAAAATTCACTAACTTAAAAAACATGGCAACAGAAATACGATAGAGGCAACAGTCTACACAGCACCATTTGTAAAAGCATTTTTGCTAATCCAGTGGAGTAATGGTATAAAGGTCAATATTTTGTGATACTTACTTCAAATTCAAAGCTGAAATTAGGTAAAGCCTTCCAAAAAAAAAAAATTCTCTTGAACTGAACCAAAGCTGAGAAATAAAATATCAACTATTTTAAAAATACTCCAGTCATTCTGCAACTTAGAGAAGATACAATATGATGAATAAGCATGTAAACTTACTATTAACTTGTTAACAGTTATTTTCTACTTCATATTTGCTTTGAGTTGTTACCTATGTTGAAAGTTGTTATTCATTGTTTTTTAATTTAAAAAGTGTTAATAGTATTAAAAATTTTACCTTTCATTTTAAAAATTGCAGCTTTATATATCAATACTCTAGTGCTGAAAATATAATGTTAGAAGTCACACTAAAGCATTAAAAAAAGTTAACTACTTTGATAATAGATAATATAAATGCTTGAATATTTAATTTGTTAGAAATATATAAAGTTAATTGCTACATTTTGTGCGACAAGAGTATGTAGTCTTTTTTTTTAATTGTAAGCTTAACCAACACTATTCTATTTCTGAATTTCTCAAATTATGATTTAAATAACCCTTGTATGTATTTTTCAGTTTCAATCAAAAGGAAATTTCAGTGGTAGCTCTAGAAGCAGTGTTCAAGAGACTGATAGTCTGAGGAGAATAATGGGAAATTCTAATCTAAAACAGCATATTGAGACTGCACAAAAGACAGGTGCTTGTCAACTTCGACATCTTAATTTAAAAGAGGTCAGTATTTTTTTAATTTTAAAAAGTATTTTATTTCATAAAACTACTTTTTAATTAATAAAAAACATATTTAGCAATTAAATTATATATTTTTAATTGAACAGGTTCCAGAGGAGCTCCAAAGGTTGTCAAAAAATTTAAGAACAGTTGATTTGTCAGACAACAAAATTTCAGTCTTACCTCCTTGGTTTGTTACTTTTGCAAGCTTGAAGAACTTGACGATTAGTAATAGCAAATTAGGTATTGTCATTATTTTTCCATTAAAAATGCTATTATTTCTAGTTTATGGGATTTGTGAAAAATTCTCAGGTTTTAAAAAAAATATTGTTAATTACTGATTATTGCTTTTTTAAAAACTAATTTGAGATAACTAAAATGCATCAAAATTTATCATCTTATATAAACTTACAATAAAAATATATTATGCTTTTAAAATAATATTTTTATTTCAGTTTCCTTACCAGAAGATTTTGGCCAGCTAAAGAAACTGGAAGTTATTAACCTGAGCAACAACTCGCTGACCAAACTTCCCAAATCCTTTTCAAATCTGACCAACCTCAAAACCCTGACATTATCTGGCAACAGCTTTAAAACCTTCCCCACTGAGATTCTGGTCTTGCAGCAGCTGGATGTTGTTGATCTGTCTCAGAACTCCATCACACAACTCCCAGCTGACATGTCAGGACTGCAAGCTGTAGAACTCAACTTAAACCAGAATCAGGTGGGAACACAATTAGAATTGTTTTTATGATGACATTGTTTTTTATGTTAATTTCTTATTCTGGTGTGAACACAATGAAATTAGAATTATTTTTATGATGACATTATTTTTTTATGTTAATTTCTTGTTCAGTTGAGAACACAGTGAAATGAGAATTGTTTATATGATGACATTTTTAAAAAAAAAAATTCTTATTCTGGTGTGAACTGTGAACACCTTGAAATAATTGGTATCAAAATTGTTTTTAATTTTAATTTTTAATGTATGATCATATTTTAATACTCAGGTATCTAAAATGCCAGCATCCATTGCTCAATGTCCACGATTGAAAGTTCTTAGGTTGGAAGAAAATTGTCTGGAAATAACTGCATTTACAGCGGATATAATGAAACATTCTAAAATTAGCTTGTTTGCTGTTGAAGGGAATATGTTTGACATGAAAATGTTTCATCAGGTGGATGGATATGATGAGGTACATGCAGTTTTGTTTGAACTAGTTAAAATAGATAAGTAAATTATGTTGTCATATTAGGATATAGTGTTTATTTTATCTTTTTTTCTCCTCCCTCTCCAGTACATGGAAAGATTCACAGCAACCAAGAAGAAGATCAACTAAATTTGTAAAGGCTTTTAAAAGGACTATTGTTTCTTGTAATCATTTGCACTGCAACTATGATTACAAATTTACTTTTGTAAATATTCAAGAGAGACAAGACTGAATATAACCAGACCATCACAAAAAAGTAAACAAGTTTTATAAAACAGTTGTATATTAAAAATATTTTTGCTGTTAATTCATCTGAAATATAAAGTCTTACATGAGTAAAATTTATCAAAACCCATATTATAGCTTACACATTTTCATTTTTAAACAAATAAATTATTCTTGCATGTTTTTATGTACAAATTGTAATTCTTTTGATAAAATAAGTTTTATTATGATGGTTTTTATCCTTACCTATGTGGAATTAGTCATATTTCAGGATGATTTTATGGCAGTTGCATAAAGACCCATGTGTCTGCCGATATTTGTTTTCATAAACTCAACAACATATTTACTCAGTCCATTCAATTATTATTTTCTTATTAGAAAATAAACTTGCAGTAACAATTGTGTGTTGTTATAGTATCAAAAAAATTATATGTACTATACCTATATGTATAAATATGTCTTTTTACAAATTCTTTTACTTTAATGCTGATACAAAGCAGTTTAAAACTTAAGTCTTTTTTTAGCTTCAAAAGTATTCATTCTAAAAGATTTTCTTATTTTTGGTAACATACCCAATGCTGTTGGAAATGGTTATGTTGATTACATTACATGGTAATTATCTAAAGTAAACATTTTTAAATTAAAAAAATCATTTTTTTAATCTATCACTACGGCAGGCTATTTTGTTATGTACTATTTCATTTTCTCTCCTTGCTGTATTCTTGTGTTGTTTGAATTATTACCTTTCAATGAATGGCTGTGAATATCCATTTTTAATATTGGTCAAGGACAAAAAAAAAAATCAACATAAAAATTCAAATCTAGTCTTAATTTAAATCAGACAGGATTGTATATTGTATAGTATTTGTTTATTGGTGAAAACTGTATAAATAATTAACATAAGCCACTACCTATTGTTTCATCACTTCCTCAACTCAATTAAATTTGATCATTAATATGCTGGCTTTATATAGGCTACATTTGTCAATAATATTGCCCTTAAAACATTCAAACCATTTGTACAGTATTCAGCTCCACAGATTAAATACCACAGACAAGAGTTGGTCGAGTCTCACATATTAACCAGTTTCAACTGGTCCATATATATTTCATGTTTGACTTCAGACTTGCAGTAGAACCTTTCCTCACTGTCTGACACAGGCTAAGTTAGGTTTAACTAACTAGAACAGATAAACATTTGTAAAAAAATGAAAGCTAAGTTTTGCTGTTTTTGAAATAAATAATAATTACATTCATCAGAACAGATAAAATAGAGATAATATAACCATTAAAAAGTTTCATCAATTCTAACCACTTCTGATTTTTTCACTATCTACTTGTTTGATGTGTAAATTGCTTCTCACTATAATAAAGTAATCCACAAAAACAAAACTTGTTTGTTTTGTGTCTTATAGACATACCATACCTACATGGAGTAATTAACTTGAGATTAATGAGGGGGGGGGGGAGAAGAATTAAATACAGCAAGAAGAATTATTTTCAGACAAAAGCAATATTTTCAAACACTGGTGATGCCCATCAGTGAGCAACTCAGCTAAAATAGGTACCCACCAAGGGTAATAATTACAGTATTATTGTTGAGGCTCCAACTTTTAATTTCAAAAAGTGCAGTAATTGACATCAAAATCTCTATAGTCTTAAAAAACTAAGGCATTTGATATTTTGACATCTCATTGTGTTAAGAAAATTATTCAAAGTACAAAAATAATTTTAAAAAATGCATAACATGAAAAAGCCATTTAATAGGCTGTGTGATCAAACAGGGTTGAACGTGACTTAATCCAATCCTACTGAGTTTATTCTATAGAACATTCATCAGTCTACTACTATTTGATACTTTTGCCTGTAAAGGGAAAGTAAAGATTGCAGGTCACACAATTTCTTTACACGCTGAGGCCAAAGAAAAAGATAATTTCATGAGCCTTATGGACCAACGTCAGAAAAAAAAGTATACACAAAACATTACACCATACACCCTAATATGCATCATCAAAGATCCTTTTAAAATGATTTTAGATAGCATTAGACCTTTGATTTTTAAATATTTAAAATTGAAACTTACATAAACACAAAAAATCAGAAAAATTGATATGACAAAATTTATAAATAACTTAAAATCATGTTAAACATAAATGAAATTCCTTTGAAAGTGTTGGTAAAAATTACACAACAAACAAGGAGTTACAATAACAGCTAACAAGAAACAGTTTAAAAAAATATGGACTAAAACAAGACTAGAGTGTAGAGACACTTGATACAAGCTTTTGTTCTCATAATATTTGCATTCCCATACAGCTGGTCTTGACCAGCAGTCAGAAGCAATGGTCACAATTCCACAAACAGAAGCAATGGTCACAAAATTTACAGTCGGAAGCAATAGTCATTGTGCTATTACTGTTTCAATACATTTTGGACATGTACTATAAATTTAATGTTTTAAAATTTGTTGCGAATACACTCACTCAATCATGAATTTACTGAACTAATCAATAATGATTAAAACTGACAGATGATATCAATGTAATAATTTCAAGAACAGTGCTTAAAAATGTGAAGGGAATGTGTTAAAATACTATAATACATTTGATATATTTATAAAAGATGTTTCACAAAAACACTACATTCCCCTACAATACCAACAAAGTATGCTAGGTCAACATACAGAAACATAATAAGCAATAAAAATTCAAGGCAGTTTGATAGTGAAGGTACCATGATCAACAAACGGAACATCATTAAATATAAACACTTAAAGTCATACATTCACACAGGATTACATACTAATGTGCTTTTAAATGACAAGAAGTCATTAATGCCCTAAGTGTAACAATTAAATGATACAATTTATATTTTAATACTGATCACTGTAAAACAACTACATTGACGGCTCCTTTGCATAAAATCAACAAACTCAATAATAAAATATAATCACAGTTTTGAAGCAAGAATCTCGCAGTTAGAAGCATAATTTCAATTAAAAAACATCTAAACATCATAAGCATATCTTGAATAAACATGAAAATGACACAATAGGTTTTGTTTGTGGTTGAACTAAGTGAGAGTCACAATCACACTTTTGATTTCCATATCTTTTACTTCCAACTTTAAATCAGTCAGGGGCCTTAACTCTTTAACACCAGTTAGAGTAGTCTCCACCGCTGATTTAATATGAACATCTTTGAAACTATTCAGATTTACAGCCTTCTGTGAATATAAATAAAACAGGCACACACATTAACACAAGCTTTTTAAAAATAAAATTTTTTATGGTTTAAAAACAAACAAAACAACAACTGAAATGTAAGACAAATTTAAGAAAAACTATTTTTAGAAAGCAACAGTTAGCCAGCTGGCTAGACTGACCTGCATATTGCAGTCCATATGGACCTGTCTGTAGTTACAGTCTAGACCAACCCTGTGGAGGACCATCAATGACTTGAGGCTTGAATCAGGGGGAGTGTGCATCTTCCTAAGGTTCAACAGCTTGTACAGGCATGGCCAGGGTTCTTGAAGAAAACTGGAACTTTCAGCAAATTGCCTTTTAGGATCTTCAAAGAATGCAGCTTGTGGTGGGTTGTTGAGGTGAGAAGATAGCAGATGGGCTAACATAGATGGATAGCAAACAGGTCCTTTGGTCTGTGGAGAAATTAAGGTGAAGAGATAATCAAACTATTCAGTAAAAAAATCCTACCCTAATTTATCTCTTATGATACATTACTTTATTAACTTTTCTAGTTTGTCTCTTATGATACTGTAATACATTATTTTATTAGCTTTTCTAGTTTTCTAATTTGTCTCTTATGATACTGTAATACATTATTTTATTAACTTTTCTAGATTTCTAATTTGTCTCTTATGGTACTTTAATACACCATTTTACAAAATTTTCTAGAGACTTTCCTATAATACTTTATGACATGAGCCTACCTGTCCCTGACTATCTCGTCTCTCAGGCACCAAGATAAATCTGCTGGGGTTTTCCGTGTTGTCGTGAGGACCCTCATTCAACCCACGCCAATCATCCTGCATCAACCTTCTGTCAAGGATAACTTCCATTGAACCTAAGATCAATATAATTCACATATTAACATGTACTTTCTGATGACCTACGTTCAAATATAAAACTTTTTCTAATTTTCTTACCAGGTTTAAGGGAAGCAAATCCATGACTTTCAGATGTAATTAACGTCATACGTGATAATTTCCCATCTTCTATAAAAGCCATGGAAGTCATGGGATGAAAATTTCCCTGAATCAAAAATTTTGATCTCCATTTCTTTTTATGCATCTGCAAAATTATCAAATTAAAATAAACTTTAAAAAAAAATCTTGGAACATGCTGTAACTAAAAAAGTTCTTTTCATTTAATTGACCCAACTCGAAAAGTCTTAATTGGTTCATTAAATATTTATAAAATTGTGTACAATGTTATTAAAATAACTATGGTTAGTATTTTTGGTTCATCATTTTCACATGGTATTGGAGACATTAAACTGGACTTTATAGAAAAATATGGCCAAGTAACCATGGAAATTTGTTTACTGAAACATTTTCCTAAAGTCAACTGTAAAAAAGTAAACTTTAAAACTTGTTCTCTACATTTGCAAATTTCTTTCAATGATTCTAAAAATATTAAATTTTAGAATTATTTTCAGGCTTAATAGTTAAGTTTTTTAAAAAAATGGCCACTATGATTTAAAAATAAAACATGTTTTTTTTTATCCAAGTCAACGGTAATGATCAGCCCCATCTCGCCAAACTTTTAAAGTTATTCTAACCTGAAAGCCATTTAGGTCCACACAAACAGAGGAGTCCTGACTTAGAACATCTGTTGTGATCCTCATGACTAGCTCCTTGTTTTCCCATTCCTTGGATGAAATGTCAACCAGGTTATCAATGTGAACCCCTGATCCCATTGGGCCTACAGTGGAGAAATTATACAGCCTCTAAAAACTGCAACATCATTTAATCATAGGGTAACACAAAATATAAATGGATAATGCAGTCCTTACCTGTAACATTGTAGAGTGAAACTGTGTGGCGAACTCCACTTAATTTTGTTACCACACTAGACACAACAGGGCCTTTCAATAGGACTATACTTGGGTGGTGGCTTTTTATCTCCTGAAACAAATTAATTATACCAATACTACATTCAAACCTAGACAATTCAATAAAGTACTTTGTCTTAATTTAGCACTTTGATAGGAAGAATAAAACATCTTTTATAATGGCTTGAAAAAAAAAAGATAAATAAAAATGGTACTTTGGCTTGGCCATCGGGCATGAAGATGTAGGCTCCACTTTTGTCTTTAAATGGATTGTACCATGATCCAGTTCCATACGTCATCATTTGTATGGTGGTCTGATAAATTACATCATCTGATCTTCTTAAGACATGCTGTAAATAAAGTGAAAATTATTAAAAACATCAAGAAATCAATTACGAACTTTGAAAAAAAAAAATCCTAAAATTATCAGAGTAAGATAATTTTCTTACCTGTAGAGTCCCTGTGCAAGAAGAAAATATAGCTTTTAACAGTGTGTTTTCTATTTCAATAATTTCTTTCCCTGAGGTCTTGGCTTTGAATTCAATACTGAAAAAATGTAAAGAAAAAAATAGAAATTTGACATACTGTATCACCTCTACCATTTTACTGTAGGTAACAAACACTTGTCAAATACAACCAAAGTGGAAAAAGTTGTCTTCCTTTACACAAGTTTGTCCTTTTCATCCAGTACCGTGGCTTATCATTAGTGCAGACTAAAATCTATAAGCTAGTAAAACACACCATCATGGTGAAGAATTTAGGCTTTAAAAAACCGGCCATACTGTTACCATAATTTTATTTAATTTTTGTCACAAGTCAAACGAAATTTTAACATGTTTCAGTTCAAATTAGAATTATTCATACTTAAATGACTCAGTATGCAATCCATTTCCAAACAAAGTAAGACTGGCGTAATTAGCAGAAGAAGCATCAACAGTGAGTTCAAAGACTTCAACACTAAGGCCTGGGAGACTGGCTAGAAACACAACCTGAAAGTTCAGCATAACATTCACTGCTGAGCTGAACATTTTAAAACATTTTAAGTAATTTAATGCAAATGGATTCACCTTTATCATGTGGTATGTAGTAATTTTATAAAAAGATAAAAAATGATTCAATATCTTGAAAGTTTTCTTGTATGATTTCTACTTACATCATAAATGCCTGCCACAGCCTGTAACCCAGGTCCTAAAACTGGATTTATCTGGCTTGGAACTAGACTTCCTGTCCTTGTTTTAACAATGGTAGGAGTAGATGTTCGAATGGTTATTGGAGCTGTCCAATCTACAGTTAGTGCATTCACAACTATAACAAACCTGAAACAATTAAAAGAGATAGGCCTATAATTTGAAATTTGTTTATGACATAAAAAATATTTATTATAAAAAATTGTGGTCGAAATTACAGCAGTTTTAATAATTTAATTAAATTTTCAAACATTAATGAGAAAATCTGTGAATAAAATACAAAATCTATATTATCAACTTCTGTCGGTACACACCATTTCCCTTTAAACTGGCTAATTTTTAAAACTGGTGGTGAAGTTCTTGAGTTCCACTCTTCTGTAAAAAAAATTGTATTTGGCTGCAGGTCAGGAAACCTTTCAACTTGTTTGAGCACGCTGTTCAACATTAACCATGAGAGAAGGCTATCAACTTTACTCATTGTGGCTTGCAGTCTGCAGAAAAATATGATATCCACTCCACAACACAGCAAAACAAAATCTTAACATGGCAACAGAAAGCTATAAGCAGTTTTAATAAGATGTTTTCATTTTAAGTTTGATAATTAACAAAATCACCATCATAAAAGTAAAACTTGCTCAATGTTGATAAATGATGCAGTAGAATTAGGTTATTGAGGATGAATGAACTATCAAAATATTTCTGTTGATAGAGTTAAAATACTTCACTTACCTTCCTCCATAATCTGCCATAACAATACTTTTACTGGTTCCTGTAATGGCGTCATGGTGCTGAAACAAGCCAACCGTTCTACGAGCTTCAACGATGATTTCCTCGTGTTTGGTGTACGCCTGCCTGGTCAAGGCAGGTGTTTGAGCCAGGATCAAAGAAAACAGAATCTCTGTAATTCTGGAAATTTAATGTTTTCTGTCTTAATAAAAGTTTACTTGTACTTTTGTTTCACTAAAAGGAACTTTATATTGTTGCATGTAGTATGAAAAATAGAATATAAAACTTTCATGTCACATGTTCAGGTCCACCCCACCTTGTCTTTGCCTGTAGAACTCTGCCCATGTGTTTCAGCAATGGCCGCACTGAGTAAAATCCTGTCCAGTATTGGTCATCTCTATCATTGTAAGGGAGGAAATCCCCGGTCAAAGAGGGAAAAGATTCAGATTTGGATTCACCACCCTCAGCCTCTAGAGCTTTGAAATAATCTGACAGAGTACCAAACTCAATCTGAAAGGAGGTTTAAAATATTTCTTCAGATATACAAGTTTAAAAAAAAGAAGAAAGAGAAATAAAAATTTAACCTTGAATTTTTCTACGAGTCTAACCAGTTTCAAATTCTAATTGAAAACAAGGTTGTTGATAAACAACACATTATGATTATGTACCAACAAGTTATTTTTTAATTCAAAAGTAACAAGTGATAATTCTGTCTTAAAGAGCAACCTTTATGTTCATGTCTTTATCTTTATTCATGTACTCCATTAACTTGATCAGATTCCCAAACTGTTGCGTCCACTCACTTTCTGAGCTGTAGCGGAAATCATCCCCATGGGGTACGAGGATGACATTTTTACGATAGAGAAAAGCTTTCTTCCTGTATTGTTCCCAGAGAGCCCAAGCACTGAAAGTATTTTGACCATGGCTTAGCGTAAATATTGCCCTAACATGTGTTAGTTATAATAAAAATATAAATATTGCCCTATCATATGTTACTTATAATAAAAATATAAATATTGCCCTAACATGTGTTCGTTATAATAAAAATATAAATATTGCCCTATCATATGTTACTTATAATAAAAATATATTGAGGAGTTTTGGTGGTTAAACTTCTTCATTCTTAATTGTGCTGTTGGACGGGATATCATCCAACACAATGAAGTATTACATGTTAATCTGTTATGCTCCTTATTGGTTGTTGGCTCTGATTTAACGCCTGCTTTTCTTTTTGGTTTTGCTTTCATACACTTTCTCCATCCAAGAATAGTCTACAGGGCAACAGTTGTTTGATTTTAGAGTTTTCTCCCCTAGATGGGTTGCTGTCCCCAGCTAATGAGCCTCATCTGCCCCGAGTTTGAACTCTGAACTTTTTGGTTTAGCATCCATGAACTTTAACTACCTGACCAACCCAACCCTGAGGTTAAACATTCTGTGATATCAAGTTGTCCGGCACATAGGTTAAATAAGTAAACTGTAAACAAAGATGCCATAAAAAACTTAAGGTGAAATACTATCATATGACTATATGTCCGTACACACATTTTTGTTAGTAGCCTATTGACAGATTTAAGCTATGTCTAGTGTTTAATTTATGAATAAATTTCTTAAATTAATGATAAAAATAATTATTATTTGGCTTTTAGACCAGCCTCTGTATTAACAACTCAAAAAAATCTATTTTTTTTAAACACTATGGTACTTACAGTTTTCTAATGTTGGTGTCATCCACCGTAAGTTTTGAAACTGTTTCTGTACCTCTAAAACATTTATCAGAATGGAAGTCAAACTGGCAACACACATGAGGGTCAGGGCCACATGAATAATGGATGGCATAAAGCAGGAAGGGCATTATGTGACACAACACACCTGTACTACCATCAGAGTCTAATACAGGAAAAAAAGGATTTTAAATATTTATCGAACAGTTCAAAACTAAATATTACAACTAAAAAGATACAGAAAAAGAAATGGATTTTAAAATTTATCGAACCGTTCAAAACTAAATATTATAACTAAAAAGATACAGAAGAAAAAAAGCAGTTTACCCCAAGCCTGTCGCCACATGAATTCTAAATTTCTTCTTTTGGCAAAATTTCTTTTGATGCCAAAATGCACTCTTTGTATTACCATATGATTAATGCCAGATTTTTTGAGGAAGTATGTCATTGTTGGGGAGTGACCAAATGGATCTATGGACCACGATGTGTTGGGTGTTATTCCTGAAAGGTAGAAAACAAGAAAATAAATCTAAGCAATTGTTTATATTGTCATATGTTTTAAAGGTATGTTCAAAGTTAAGCTAATAATAAAACTGTATTTATAAAATAACCAACCAAAATGCTGATGAAGCCACATGTGACCTTCTATTAACTGGTCCAACATTGCCGTGTAGTGTGCAACAGACTCATCTGTCATGACCCACCCACCACTCACTATCTCAATCTGCCCATTGGCAACTAGCCTGAAATGGAAATTGTTTTTATCAAACTCTTTCAAACATTCTGCTATCAAGTTCATGACACTTTTAAAACATGCTTCTGTTAAAAGAATTTGAACCAGTATAGCCGGAATGACCTACTTTTTGAAGACTTCCTTCCCTTGATCTGGCACACTGAACCACTTCTCCAAATAGGAAACTTCAGACCAAAGAAATTTCCACTTTGGATTTGCATCTAAATATTTGACTATATTTTCCAGGGTATTTCTTGTATAACTGTGAAAATAGCCATCAAAAGTCTCCTTCCACCCTGTAAAAAAAGCTATATTAGATACAATTCTAATCATTGGAAACTTCTTTTATATCAGAATTTTTGAATATATCTGTAGGCTAAAATTTTTTACTTATATAAAATAACTTATTTAAAAAATGCACCTACAATTTTGATCTAGTATTACTTTGTTCTATTTATTGTCAATATGAGGCTGCCGTAAAATGTTTTTATTCTAACCTGGGTCCTGGTGTGAATGTGGAACAATGATGACCCTCAGCGGCTGAGATGTGTCATAGTTGGGGACACTAATCACCTGGATCCACCCACTGACAGTGTACACGTACTGGGGGTAGTTAACACTGATAGAATCCCATTCTTTCTCTACCTGGCCACACAATGTCATGTAATTGTTAGAATGATGGCTGTCACATAGTGTAAGAATAATGACAGGTCAAATATGGTAAGAATAATGACAGGTCAAATATGGTAAGAATAATGACAGGTCAAGTATAGTAAGAATAATGACAGGTCACATATTGTAAGAATAATGACAGGTCACATATTGTAAGAATAATGACAAGTCACATATTGTAAGAATGATAGCATGTCACATATTGTAAGAATGATGACAGGTCACATATTGTAAGAATAATGACAGGTCACATATTGTAAGAATGATGACAGGTCACATATTGTAAGAATGATGGCAGGTCACATATTGTAAGAATAATGACAGGTCACATAATGTAAGAATGATGGCAGGTCACATATTGTAAGAATGATGGCAGGTCACATATTGTAAGAATGATGGAAGGTCACATATTGTAAGAATGATGGCAGGTCACATATTGTAAGAATGATGGCAGGTCACATATTGTAAGAATAATGACAGGTCACATATTGTAAGAATAATGACAGGTCACATATTGTAAGAATAATGACAGGTCACATATTGTAAGAATAATGACAGGTCACATATTGTAAGAATAATGGCAGGTCACATATTGTAAGAATGATGACAGGTCACATATTGTAAGAATAATGACAGGTCACATATTGTAAGAATAATGACAGGTCGAATATGGTAAGAATAATGGCAGGTCACATATTGTAAGAATAATGGCAGGTCACATATTGTAAGAATGATGGCAGGTCATGTATGATCAGAATGATGGTAGGTCATGTATGATCAGAATGATGGTAGGTCATATCTTAAGTTTTTGCAAGAATTTCTATCCAGCAGAAGCTAAAATCTTGGATACAATTCTGTTTTTGCCTACCTGCCTTCTTTTATAAGTAGTAAGCTTTTCTAGGATAGACAGATTTGCAGTAGCAAAATATAAAAGAAAACTAAAGTATTCTTTCCACATGATGTCAATATGGCACTAGCTGTAGAAGTAAAGTGTGTTTGGTTCTATGTCCAGGTTGACCATCAGAGCTATGTGGTCCAAGTGATGTTCAACTGATTGCAAGACTTTCTGTTAGCTATCAAGCATTCTACTGCTTGACCATGCAAGCTAAACAAACTGGCTATAAACTTAAACAGATTTCATTCAACATTTTAATTTACCTGAATGTTTGCTTTTAGTGGTCTTGCTTGCACTGGGCAGATGTCAGCTCTTAGTGCTGTTATATTTAGACTAAAATTTCTTCTATAACTACTGACAGGAATGTGAAGGCCATGACACTCTTCATTAGCATATAGCTGCAGACTGCCATTCTGAAGGCAAGGTAATAAAAAAGCAAGGTTGTCAACAGAGCTTAAAATTCTTTAAAAAATGATTTAACTTAAACTCAGAACGTAGCTAAATGTTAAGTAACTAAATACCTACATGAAAACAATAAATATTACAAACCTCATTTATATTGGGCAGAAATATTTGGCCAGATTTTTTCATGTTGGTTACATTGCTTTCTAATTGTCTAAATCCTAGCCAAACCAGAAACAAGTAAACAATGACTGTCAGCATCAAACATCTCAATGAGGTAATTTGAACAATTCTAGACAGTACAAGTCTAGATATCATTTTGTCTTTTGCTGCCTGAGAAAAAATATTTAAATGTGTTATTTTTTGTGTGTATCTTATAAAAGTAATTTTTGACTTAAGGTACGCAAAATCGGCTGAGACTAGTAATGTGAAAAAAAGGTGACTCACTAAAATTTAATAATTATTTAACATTTTTTTGGAAGATTTTGTCTTTTGAAAGTACAAAAATGTTTCATTAGTTTCAAAGTTTCATTACTGAAAATTAATGTACCTGTTTTTAAACAATTGTGTTAAAACTTTTCAGTAATAAATAAAGACTAGTGATGTTTTTATCAGATGCAACCAGCTCATTTACTTTAACAGCCATCTTGTTATCATTTTTTGTTGTTGTTACATTATTGTTAGAAATTCAGGAGAAACCGCTCTAATTTACAGATGGCCACTGTTTGTATAGCAAATCTTGCTTGCAAACACTGCTGTTTTAAGTTAATTTCTTGCCTATATTCATATGCAACTTTTCCTCACATTACTAGCCTCGGACGATTTTACACAACTAAAACGATAGATTACCGCTACAGTATATTAATTTATAATTATATAGTTATATTAAAAGTTATATAGTACTTACTACAGCAGTATGAGGCCTATGCCAAACCCTATTCCTCCTGGATTCCATCAGCCAATGTCAGAAATAAATTTTTTCTTTTAAAAATAATTATTAATTAGGCCTAGCCCGGCCTAATCAAACCATGATTATTAATGATTATCATCAAATCTAAATAAATCAATAAATTCAAATGACAAAAATATAATAGGCCTAGATCTAGTAATAAGTATAAATAAGTAATAAAAAATGGGTAATCTATCGTTTTAGGTACGTAAAATCGCCCGCGACTAGTAATGTGAAAAACAGGTGACTCCTTACATTTTAATAATTATTTCACATTTTGAGGAGGATTTATGTTTTGAAAAATACAAAAATGTTTACTTGTTTCATTTATGTACCTGTTTCTAAACAATTGAATTAAAACTTTTCCGTAATAAATGAACACCAGCGATGTTTCCAACAGATGCAACCATGCTCATTTACTATAGCAGCCATCTTGTTAAAGTTTTATTTTTATAGACTTATAGCGCAAGATTCAGGCGGAAGTCACTCTATTTTACAAATGGCTGCTGTTTATATAGCAAATCTTGCTTGCAGACACTGCTGTTTAAAGTTAATTTCGGGCCTATATTGATATATTTAGCCATTGATTTAGGTTTATTATTCATTTATCTATAATATTTGACACAAACATATCACAATATACTTCTATTACAGCCTTTACAATGAGGTAACGTTTTCGTACATTAATAGCCGCGGGCGATTTTACGTACCCAAAACGATAGATTACCAAAAAATGTTGTTTGCAGGCGGCCCCTCCTAGGCCTAATTTAATAATTTTAATTTATTTTTAGTAATTAAAATTATTAGGCTATTAAAATTAATTTAATTATGATACTTTGTGTGCAGCATTACAAAAAACTGCATCTAGTTCTAGATATCTCGACGCCAAGCGAGATTTAGAGATCTATATCCATGTAGATCTAGAATCTAGATTTCTAGTAACGCATCCACATTTTGTTTGGTGTTGTTGTGGTTATAGTTTACTTTCAATTTTAAAGGTCATACTAAATCCAGGAGAGTAAAATAAAAAAAAAAAACAAGAAGAAACACAAACACTGTCAAATGTATTTATAAATAAATAGGCCCGAAATACCCAGATGTTTTTAAACTTAATTTTAATAAAATATGTTTTTATAAACAGAAAAATGCACAATATAAAATGCTACAGTGGAAAAATAAGTACAAAAAAGCAACGAAAAATCAGTGTGCCAAAGCCGGGTATTATTTATGTCATGGTATTCATGTTATGACATTCATTATTCTTTATCTTTTTAGTGTTTGTAAATTGCTTCTCTTTTTAAGATACGGAAGCCAAGAATGTTAAATTATCCACCTTAGCTCTCATGTGATATCCATGCGTTAGGAACGTCTTGGTTGGGTGACTAATATCTTGTCTGCTTGAAACTGATAGCAGAGATCTAATACTATGGTGTGGTAAGAGAATCATGAGTAATAGACAGCGTCAGTCTCCCCTTTGACCAACATTCCTACTCAAAATCTCTAACAGGCTTTTGGTTTTCGGACTTTTGGGTTCATCTATTCAAAATTTAATGGGGGTCATCCATAAATGACGTCACGTTTTTTTGGGACGATTTTTACCTCCCCCTCCCCTCCGTCACACGTCGTCACAAAAAGCCAGACCCCCCTAAAATGACGTCACATCTCAGCCTACAACCCTCCCTCAAAATTGCTGTTGAATTTTTCTTAAAACATCGATATTTTTCCAAAAATCTTGCCAGAACTCTGTCAACATAGTTTTTTGACCAATTCCTATTATTCAAACCGTTTTCTAAAACGCTAAATAACGGCTAAAACTCGTTTTCTAACATTGCTTTTTTATAATTCAAAAGTGTGACGTCACACCATCTGAACCCCCCCCCCCTCCTTCCCCTCATCACACACCCCATGTGTTTTAGTTGTCTCGAAGTAAACAGTAAGAAAAATATAAACTAGAATGGAAAATTTTGAAAATGTAAACTTTCTTAAAATAATCAATTATATTTCCATTTAATTAATGTTAATACATTTAGGCAACGGAAAAATGCAACCTGTTGATTAGAAAGATGGTTTTTAGCGGTGGATGTTGAACTTTATGACGTCAATTTGGGTTGGTGGTGTCAGTTGGTTATTCAAAGCTTCTGCCATTTAAATGACAGTAAACACCGTCAAAATCGTGACTTGTGTATCCCGCAAATTTGTGGATGTTTATATTACGGTGATAACTGCAAAGTGTATAACATATGAAGAGGAAGCTGGCAAAGTGTATAATATACAAAGAGGCTGCTGGTTAAAGTGTATAAAATATGAAGAGGCTGCTGGATTTTTAAAAAATGTCACGTGACCAGTACAATTACAGAACCAAAATGATATTAATGGTAAATTAACATATTGTTTAGACCTAAGGTTTTTGTGGTTTTGAAAAGCTTTTAATTTGTATATCTCTAATTTTTTTTCGCTTTGTTTTTTAGTTCAGTTTTATAATCTTCTGTCACGTAGGTGACATTCGAAGGACTAACAACGAAAAGAAACTCACAATTACTTTAGAGCTATTCAGCGGTTACTTTTCTTTGAACATCCAAGTACTCTTCTCTTATCGACCATTAACTCAACGGGTAAAATATCTATTTTTATCATGCCACAGTGTAACCACAGCCTTGAATAAAGCGGTTAGATCTTCTTGCTTTGCAATTTAAAAAAAAAGTTATTTCCGATTGTCGAGCTAAGCAGGTTCCACATAGATTCTAGTAATTTTTCTTGCTGTCAACATTAGTTGGGTCAAACTTCGTTTCAATTTTTTGTTTTCAAATTAAGAGAAAAAAAACCCAACAAAAAAGGGCATAGTAAACTTTGTAGGTCCGGATTCTAAAACGGCACATCGATTTAAATCTATTTTAGGCTAATCCAGCTGATTTATTTGTCCACTTGTTATAAATGTTTTGCTTGACTAAATCAATACTAATAGTTTCGCTGTCTGTGTATCTATGTATGTATCTGACAAGAACGCTCTAGAGAAAACACAAGCAATTTAAAAACTTTCACAGTGAGACGGAAACGAAATATGACGTCATACTGAGCATGTAGTAGAGAATAATGTCAAGCAGGAGAGTGTACACAGTAATATGACGTCATTGATTCTCGAGTAAACATTGAATAAAAAGGCAATTTTGTCTAATCTGAATGGTTTGAGTGAAGAGTTTCTTTCATACAATTCTTCGGGTAGGGGCGAAGCCCCATCCCCGCGTAAGAACGTCTGAGCCCCCCCCCTCCCCAACTCAAAAGAAATTTCTTCATCGATACTCTATAATAAAATTACCGCCTAATTAATGTGTCTAATCTAAAAAGTGGTTTTCTTGCAATTTCTTTAATGCAATTCTTCGGGTAGTGGCTAAGCGCGACACCAGTGTTTCTTTCAGAGTTTTTCCTCCCCGGAGGGGGGAACTTTTTCTAATCTAAAAAGTGTTTAGCGTGCAGTTTTTTTTCAAGCATCTCTTCCGGTAGGGGCGAAGCCCCGCCCAGGTTCTTCCTTTAGTTTGTATGATCTACAAATGCGACCAGTGTTTCTTTCAGACTTTTTCCTCCCCGGAGAGGGGTGGGGGTACTTGAAATTTTCGGGGGCGGGGGTAGAATTTTCTGGGAGGGGGCGGACACTGGAAAAAGTATATAATTGTGAGGGTGGGGATTTTTAAGAAGGCGGAACGAATGAATCCAATAACACACAGTTCATGTATAAAATCAAAAATGTTCTTTATTAAAATTATAAATCAATTTCCTACCTTGAGCTCGACGCAACCTTGCGTCATCACAATAATTATATTTCGTTGAATGGGACGGTAGACATGTTTTGCAGAGTGTGTGTGTGGTAGGGGGGGGGGGGAGGGGGCGAAGTAGAGTTGCCTGAAAGAAACTCTAAATGCGACTTTTGTCATGAATGAGATTAGGTGCATGGTTTAGGGATATGCCTATGACTATATTTTGTATAAATTAAAGTACCGAGAAAATAGACAGCACTATCAACCTAGCGCCCGTTGTATCCTTCCTCAACGGGCCATTTTTCTCGTTTTAATAATATTATTAATAGGTCTATATTCAAAGTAGACAATTCATTAAACATTAGCCGCTCATACCAAACAACCAGCCGATCCTACACTATTCTCAACGAGACTGTCGTTGAGTGGCTTATCAACAGTGTCGGTATATAATAACGCTATAGATTTTTTCTCATTTGATTCTGTCGTTGAGACTCTAATTATAGTTATAAACTGTAAAAACTAGCTAACGGAATAAAACCATTTCGATTAATTAATCGCTTAAAATATTTAATATAAGAAAAATTAAACAACCATTCATTTTACAGAGCTAATAATAATTAATATTATAAAAAATGTATCTTCTGTCTTTAAAATTGAAAAGTAAATTATTTTAGCAATATAAATTAATACAGTGGATTGCTGAATTTAATTGTGATCATAGTTATGATTAATAATTTTAGAGATTGTATGATTAATTTATACACAATTTAGAATTACAGAATATTGATTATTCTGTATAGAAAACATTAGGGTAGAGATTACTAAACGATATAATATAGGATTATGTAATATAGAATATATTAGTATATTATTATAGAATCTAGGCTATACAACAAGTAATACATGATATGATTGCAAAATAGAAAAAATACATAATATAAAGGCCCATTTTTTAATCGAATTTAAGACTCATTTCGTTTACAATATGTTATTACAAATATAAAATTGCAGAATACGTAATAGCTATTTTTATCGAATTTATACATAGAATGTGCTATATAATTTTAAGAACATGATTATGTAGTGGCGTAGGTACAAGGTGTGCCAAGGGGCTATACCCCCCCCCCCCCCCCGATATATATATATATATATATATATATATATATATATATATATATATATATATATATATATATATATATATATATATATACATATACATATTTACTGTACTCAAGTAGTACCCCTAACCAGAGGCGTCACAAGGTTGGGGGGGGGGGGGGGGGGGGGCGGGGCTGAGGACTGCGCAAGGTG